AAAACCACCACCTACCCTAGGTAACGAGGCTGGTCATCTGCATCGGGCGTACACCATTGCATTACCCGTCCATTACATATCGAACCGGCATCGCTTTGCGCAGTCGGTCTTCCAATCTCGCGCCTGGCCTTGTTTCTCTTTTCATGCCCCAACCGAGCTGAAGAGGCAAACTCGCCTGTGCCCTGCGTCGTGATTGTTAATCATCATCGTTGTGGGAACCCGACTCCTACCGCGACTCGCCGCTTCTTGCCCGTCGAACACTGCCTCGGAACTCGATCGCTCGCAGACTTGAGTACCAGACGCACCACTGCAGATCACCACAAGGCCGACTACTGCTCACTCAACCTGTTTCTTGTCTGGCATCCGTCATCGCACACGCAGGTGCCAACGTCTCCGAGATGGCCGACTACGATGACTACGACTACGACGGGTACGTCGAAGAAGACGACACCAGCATCACGCCCGAAGACTGCTGGACCGTCATCTCTTCCTTCTTCGAGTCCAAGGGTTTGGTTTCTCAGCAAGTCGACTCCTTCGACGAATTCACCTCTTCAACCGTCCAAGAGCTCATCGACGAGTACTCCCAAATCACCCTAGACCAGCCAAATCCTATGTCAGACAGCGACAAGGTCATCGCCCTCCGTCGGTACGAAGTCAAATTTGGCACTGTCATGGTATCTCGTCCATCCATCACCGAAGCTGATGGTAAAGTTACGACATTACTTCCCTACGAATGCCGCGACCGCAACCTCACTTACGCCAGTCCCCTCTATGTTAAGATCACCAAGAAGGTCTCGATTGCGGTAGAGAAACCGGTTCCGCTGAATGAGCTCGATGAGGAACAGCAGGACGAACTTGCAAATACTGGCGAGCACCCTACCAAGTTGGAGTGGGAAGAGGAGGAGAGCGGCGAGGATTATGGCGCCGACAAAAACAAGTCAGACGACATGAAGGACATGATTTTCATCGGTCGCATGCCCATTATGGTCAAGTCCAAGATTTGCCACTTGAGTAGCGAGCAGGAGGATGACTTGTTCATGCTAAACGAGTGTCCTTACGATCAGGGAGGCTACTTCATCATCAACGGTAGTGAAAAGGTCCTCATTGCTCAAGAGCGATCGGCCGCCAACATCGTCCAAGTCTTCAAGAAGGCCCAGCCGAGTCCATACTCTTACACAGCTGAAATCCGCAGCGCTCTCGAGAAGGGCTCTCGACTCATTTCATCTATGATGCTGAAGCTGTACAGCAAGGGTGACGCGGCAAAGGGCGGGTACGGTCAGACTATCCACTGCAGTCTGCCCTATGTCAAGGCTGATCTGCCAATCGCCATCGTTTTCCGAGCTCTGGGCGTGGTATCCGACGAGGATATCCTCAATCATATTTGCTATGATCGAAATGATAGCCAGATGCTCGAGATGTTGCGGCCATGCATCGAGGAAGCTTTTTGTATCCAGGACAGAGAGGTTGCCCTTGACTTTATCGGCAAGCGTGGCAGCAACCACAACATTCCCAGAGAGAAGCGTGTGAGAACTGCTAAAGACATTCTTCAGAAAGAAACTCTGCCGCATATCTCCCAGAGCGAAGGCAGTGAGACAAGAAAGGCGTTCTTTTTGGGATACATGGTTCACAAGCTGCTCCAATGCGCCTTAGGTCGGCGCGATACCGACGATCGTGATCACTTTGGCAAAAAGCGCCTTGATCTCGCCGGCCCCCTTCTCGCCAAGCTGTTCCGCAACATCGTCCGCCGCATGAACCAGGAGTTATCTGGCCATCTCAAGCGCTGTGTCGAGTCTAACAGGCAATTCAGTCTCACTCTCGGTGTAAAGCCGCAGACTCTTTCAAATGGATTGAAGTACTCGTTGGCGACTGGCAATTGGGGAGATCAGAAGAAGGCTGCGAGCTCGACGGCTGGCGTGTCTCAGGTATTGAACCGCTACACTTTTGCGTCTACGCTATCCCATCTTCGTCGCACAAATACGCCAATTGGTCGTGACGGCAAGCTGGCAAAGCCCCGGCAACTTCACAACACGCACTGGGGTTTGGTTTGCCCGGCTGAGACGCCGGAAGGCCAAGCATGTGGTCTCGTCAAGAACTTGTCTCTCATGTGTTATGTCAGTGTCGGTACACCCGCCGAACCCATTATCGACTACATGATCCAGCGAGGCATGGAGGTTCTCGAGGAGTACGAGCCACTGAGGTATCCCAACGCCACCAAGGTCTTCCTGAATGGTGTCTGGGTTGGCGTGCACCAAGACCCAAGAATTTTGGTTCCTGATGTTCAGGGCACTCGTCGGCGAAACGTTATTTCCCACGAAGTGTCGCTCGTCCGTGATATCCGAGACCGCGAGTTCAAGATCTTTTCCGACGCCGGCAGAGTCATGAGACCTGTTTTCGTTGTAGAGCAAGGTACCAACGGCATAGTAGCTCAGGGATCGCTCGTGCTGCAAAAGGCAACGGTCAACGAAATGCGCGAGCAACAGGAGAACCCTCCAGATAACCCGGCTGACAAGATTACTTGGGAGTCCCTTGCCCACAGCGGTGTTATAGAATATCTCGATGCTGAGGAAGAAGAGACAGCCATGATTTGCATGACACCCGAGGATCTGGAAATCTACAGATTGCAGAAGCAAGGTCAAGTGGTTGAGGACAATACCGATGGCCCCAATAGCCGTCTGAAAACCAAGATTAATCCCACAACACACATGTACACTCACTGCGAAATCCACCCCAGCATGCTGTTAGGAATTTGCGCCAGCATCATTCCCTTCCCCGATCACAACCAGGTATGCCATTCCCCGTTTTCGTTTGACAAGCAAGCACTGATTGATTGCCTTTCATAGTCACCTCGTAATACCTACCAGTCCGCCATGGGCAAGCAAGCCATGGGCTTCTTCTTGACAAACTACTCACGCAGAATGGACACGATGGCCAATATTCTCTACTACCCTCAAAAACCGCTTGCCACCACGCGGTCCATGGAATTCCTCAAGTTCAGAGAGCTTCCAGCCGGACAGAACGCCGTCGTCGCTATTGCCTGTTACTCTGGTTACAATCAGGAAGACTCCGTGATCATGAATCAGAGCAGCATCGATCGTGGCCTGTTCAGGAGTCTATTCTTCAGGTCGTACACTGACTGCGAGAAGCGCGTGGGTATCAATCTTGTTGAGCAGTTTGAGAAACCATTCAGAAGCGATACCTTACGTTTGAAGCATGGCACCTACGACAAGCTCGATGATGATGGCATCGTAGCACCGGGAGTTCGTGTCTCGGGTGAAGATATCATTATCGGAAAGACGTCGCCTATAAGCCCGGACAACGCTGAGATGGGCCAGCGAACGGTGCAGCATGTCAAGCGCGACGCCTCCACCCCACTCAGAAGTACGGAAAACGGTATTGTAGACCAGGTCATCGTGACGACCAACCAAGACGGCCTCCGTTACGTCAAGGTCCGCGTCAGAACAACCAAGATTCCACAGATTGGTGATAAATTTGCCTCACGTCACGGCCAGAAGGGTACCATTGGTGTCACTTATCGGCAAGAAGATATGCCCTTTACGGGCGAGGGCATCACACCAGACATCATCATCAATCCTCACGCAATTCCGTCTCGTATGACCATTGCCCACTTGATCGAGTGTTTACTCAGCAAAGTCTCGACATTAAAGGGAATGGAGGGCGACGCCACCCCTTTCACAGATGTGACAGTCGACTCAGTCTCGCAGCTCCTCCGAGATCAAGGATATCAATCGAGAGGATTCGAGATCATGTACAATGGCCACACTGGCAGGAAGCTGCGAGCCCAGGTCTTCTTTGGACCGACTTACTACCAGCGTCTGCGCCACATGGTGGACGACAAGATTCACGCTCGTGCGCGTGGACCTGTTCAGATCATGACCAGGCAACCTGTGGAGGGTCGTGCTCGTGATGGAGGTCTTCGTTTCGGAGAGATGGAGCGTGATTGCATGATTGCTCATGGCGCCGCATCTTTCCTCAAGGAGAGACTTTTCGAAGTCTCGGATGCTTTCCGAGTTCATGTTTGCGAAATTTGTGGCCTGATGACGCCTATCGCGTAAGTTTCTCCTGGTCTACTATTTCACGCGGAGCAGTACTAACTTGATACCAGAAACCTCTCGAAGCAATCGTTCGAGTGTCGGCCGTGCAAAAACAAGACGAAGATTGCACAAATCCACATTCCTTACGCAGCTAAGCTTCTGTTCCAGGAGCTGCAGTCAATGAACATCGCCGCCCGCATGTTTACCAACAGGTCCGGAGTCTCCATCCGATAAAGAGACTAGCTGCGGAATGGGATGTTTGGAAAATAGGTTGCTGAGCCTTGGGTCATGGAGGTGGCCTGCAAGATGAGAACGGCTGAGCAGGCAGGCAGGTAGGGAGTATTGGGAGGTGATTGGTTGTATTTGGCGTCTTCGAGGCTGGGGAACTATATTCTGGCCACCCTATCCACTCGCATCTTGGGGCGAGCCATAGAAAAATTGGCAGATGATGCCTCCATGTGTCTTGTATCAATGACATGTACCATTAAATCAATGATTAAGAAACAAGCCCAAAGCCTTGGGCGTTGTGCAGTAATGTTTCCTCCGTCTCAGTTCGGGTAGACTATTCGGCTTCGTACCCAAGTGAAGGTGAGGTAGCATCTGCTTCTTCTGCCCCTTCCTTCCTGGGTATTATCCACGCGAATCTTGCTAATATGTATGCGCGAGCGATGCCGCAGTAGTAGCCTTTCCTACGTGACATTGCAACATTTTGGCGATTACTTTCCCTTAATGGCGATGCAATGCCCCTGTTTAGTGTCATGCCATCTCTTCAGCTGTTTCTATCCTCGACAGTGAGAGGAACCCGCGCGTACTATTCATCGTTTCCCACGCCCTCCTCTCATCCTCATATCATACAAATGCACCGTGATTTCTTATTTCCGTCGATCCGGCCCTGTCTTCATGTTGCCTAGTTGCTGGGTACGGACGAGACAGACCATTGGCTACAGATTATGTTTGTATGCCACTTGCGCTGGGTTGTGAGGGCGCCGTTGCATCTCTGACGGTCTGCTCACGCTTGTAGTCCTCCTCGAGGGCGCGCTGCATGTCGAAGTCGAGTTGGCGTTCTCGTTTGATACGCTGCTGTTCGATGTCGCGTACCACTCCCTGATGCATGGCCTAGGCACTCTCATTTAGATACAGATTCCTATGGGAGCATCGGTAATCCAAGGTGGTACATGCCTCTTTTTCAAACTTTTGTTGGAAATGGACAATGACAATGGTGCTGGCGGCGAACAGCGATGTCGCGGCCAGCGTAAGCTTCGATGCCCTGGACATGGTTGGAAGACGATGTTTGAACGTGCGGGTGACGTGTGGAAGCGAACGCTTGAACAGAGGGTTATCAAAACTCTGGTGATGTTGGTGGTTCGATTTCGGTGTTTGAATCTCTCCCCGTGAGCGACAGCATCCGCCGCGTCGGTGTCGGTTGACTCGGTTCTCGATTCGACAGCAGGTATCCTTTAAATAGGGGCCAAGAAACGTCGTTGCGTACCTGCTGGTCTCAATATATCTACCGCAAGTTAGGTTCACGCAATTGTCGTCTTCAACAACTGTATTGCAGAGCACCCTTAACGCCTCAAGTCCCAGGAGCAGATGTCTAGTTACACTTTACGTAGCATCTTAAGGTAGTGCATATATGCCTGATGTGGGTGCCTCACCTATGTCTGTCAGCGCCCCGCTAGCTCCTTTACCCCACTAAGGTACCTTACCAGGTAGAGAGACATGGGAGCTTGAGTTGGAGGGTTGAGGTTGGAGGTACAGTGCTAGAGACGGCGCGGTTGTGCACTGTGACCTTCCTTGGCACCTACCTGGGTAGGTACCTCGCCTTACGTTCGCTCCGTAACCAGCGCACCCCAGCTTTCCTCGTCGCCTCCTGTTACTTGTGATTGTTGACAACTACCTTACTTACGGCTATCAACACATCTCCTGCATTCGCTCCTTGTGATATCAATCGGCCAGCCGTCTCAAATCGCGCAATCACCCTACGTTGCTTTCCCCGCTAGCTACACCTGCAACAATACTACACAATGGTGAGGACGTGCGACGCGGACAGCAACGTCATCCATCAACTTGCAGCAAGCTGATTTGGCATTCTACAGTCGGCTCAGAACTCAGCTGGTATCCAGACCCTCCTGGACGTATGTGCCCTCCGTCGCGACACTCTTTGTCAAATTGTCACTAACCTAAGCGATGCAGGCAGAGAGGGAAGCTTCCAAGATTGTCCAAAAAGGTATGCCCAGGGGTACATGTTGAAGTAACTGATTGACTAATGAATGAACCCTACCTAGCCCGCGAGTGTAGGTTTCGAGGCCGATCAATACTGCTGCGACTATGACATACTCACGCAATACCGAAATAGTCCGTACGAAGCGGGTGAAGGAAGCCCGAGACGAGGCCAAGAAGGAAATCGAGGCGTACCGCAACTCTAAGGAGGACGAGTTCAAGAAGTTCGAATCTGAGGTATATCTGTCGTGGATTCCGACACCGCTCCGACATCATCTCGGTGCTGACAATCCTCTAGCACTCCCAAGGAAATAAAGCAGCCGAGGATGAGGCGAACAAGGAGGCAGAAGGAAAGATCAAGGAGATCCAGGGGGCCGGAAAGAAGAGCCAGGACAAGGTCGTAGCTGATCTCCTGAAGGCCGTGTTCGAGGTGAAGCCTGTCGCGCCGACTGCCGCATGAGCCATTATCAGCATTCTTCATAGCATCAAAGCACACTGGTAACGAGTGCATCGGACACGCTATGCGCAGCATACGAATAGAAATGAAGCCAGCACTTTTACCCGGGTGAGAAGAGGATGACGAGGACGCGTTCACAAATTGCCGATGATGCGCGAAGCCAGGACAACAGACTGAAGCGCGAGTTGTTTGCGCGGTATGACCGGAACTTTGGAGAATCGCACCTACATAGATCGGGTAGCTGTGGTAAAATTGTACTTTGCTAGCCAGTCCTCCCCTTCTACTTCTCCCTCTCCTCCTCCTCCTTCTTCTTCTTCTTCTTTGTCTTCTTATGTCTAAACTAAAAAGTCCATGAGAGTGGTGAGCATATCGGAGAGATCTTTGTGCTCGGGCTTTTCCAGGGTGAGGTCAGATCGGTATTCTTCCAATGTCGCTTTGATGGCTGATAGACCCTTCCCATCAGCGGCTAGAAGCTTCTGCACCTTCCTCCTAGCCCCAGAATCTTCAGCTATGAGCCAGGCCAAGACAACATCGATATTCCAGAAGCTGTGGAGACCTTCCTCAATCCTCTTCATGAACCACTCGCCTTCCAAGAGCTCAATCTCCTCAGCGCTCATGCCAATTTGCTCTTGACGAATCTTTTCCTGTTGCGCATCCAACATGGAACTATACCTCTTCCGACACTCGTAGAGCCGACCCAGCTTTTCGTAGTCCTTCTCCACGAATTTGGCCAATGTCCTGATTCGCTCGGCAGAGTCAGCAGGCAAGAATCGTAGCAAGGACCTGAATACATCAAATAGGCTTTCTGTCATCTGCCTCTGAGTTTTGCTCGTCTTCTTGAAAATGGAGAAGAGCACTTTCAGCCCGCCAGCGTCTACTAATTTTCGGCATAGCTGCCCGCTCATATCCTCGTCAACGCTGTGTACAAGTAGACGCATTGCCGGCTGCTTGCTCATCTTGGCCTCCTTGAGCATGATCAGGCATAATTCGACGCCTTCGGCTTCGAGGAACTTGGCCTTGCCTTCTGGCTCATCCACAATGCAGACGAGAGCGTTGAAGAGGTTCTCCATATACTCTTCCTCCTCGCCCCCCTTCTCAGGGTCACGTTTGCGATACGCAGAAACCAGCTGGAGTAAAACCTCGACCGCATCCATCTCGGCGAGTGTCCGTCTTGTTGCTGGCGATGCGTTCGCAATAATGTCGAGAATTTCCGTAGCATATTGCTTGTTTTGGGACACGGGTGTTTCTTGGCGCTGTGCCCTGTCAAGTAGCCATTTGACCAGCGTTGTGTTCTGTCCCACCTTTTCAGCATTCGCCGTTTTGGAGAGCAGGCTTTCAACGACTCCAAGAGCATGATATATACCACCACGGTCAGACTCGTCCTCTTCGTTCAGACGCGAGAAGTTGGACACTAGCAAGCCAATGAGGTCTGCAGTCAATAACCCATCCACTAGAGTATCCCAATCCTGATCCGCTGCATTGACGTCTTCGTCAATAAGCTCGCCAATAATTTCCACCGCATCAATCGCAATATCTGTGTTGTCATGGGCCAACAAGCCGACAAGGCTCTCGACGCATCCCAACTTTGCGAATTGGGGATATAACTCGGGGTGCTCGGACAGGATCGAGAGGTCTTTGATGGCAGCGTCGAGATCGGCCTCGCTCTCAATAAACTTGTGTGGCTCGTCGGCAAACCTTGCGCGCAGCTCAGCATTTCGCGTGATGCGCTTCTCAAAGTTTAGTGCCGTTTTTCGTACCCAGCCAGCATCGATCTTTTCAGGGGCGGATGATTCCTCGCCATGGCCGTCTACGAAGTCGAGGATCTCAGACTCCTGCTTTGTAATACCTCCGCCAAAGAATCGACCCTCGTCGTCATCGTCTGGCGGCATTTCTGGGCCATAGTCTTCGTCTTCGCCATCTTCAGGTGGGTTTTGCGGACCGGCAGTGAAATCGCTATCGTCTCCTTCCGCGTCTACTGTGCTGGCATGTCGACTGATGGCGTCAGCTGCGCTCAGTTTGGCTGACTTGTATATTTCATCTGTATATCTATTACTTCGTGTTCGCTGTTGGGTAGCAATGGAGGCAGGTACTAACTGGGATCTCGCACAACATCAAGCTTCCTTTTCGCAGTACTGCCGGACTTTAGAGTGCCTAGTAAGTAAGGCTGTGATCGGGAGACTTATGGTGCGACTCACCTTGAACAACTCGTTCACATCCGCCATTTCCTTTGAGTGATTTCGGAAAGACTCTGGGTGACTAGTAGGTAAGTTGCGTTGTGCCGTAGGTGAATTTGCAGCAACGGTAAAAGGCTTGTGCTTGGGATGGTCAAGGAGCTTTTAGACGCGATGCTGCCCGGTATCGTCGCGCCAGGCCCAGCGTGCTAAGGTACCTAGCTTAATCCGAGGTACCTTCAAAGTACGTATGTCCATCAAGGTACGTATGTAAGTAAGTTGGCACGTTGGGTGGCACGGGGTGGATTGAGTCAAGGCCACTTGGGGGGAAGTACCTACCTTACCTATGTATGTACACTGTAGCTGTAGCCCGATAGGTATCCGTAAGCTAGCTCAGAGCACCTATGCAAATATGCACACATCGAAGCTCAAGTGAAGCGTGCCTACCCTGTGCGTCACGGCGGCTGATTTGCTATTTCCAGTATTGTCGCTACGCTTAGACTTGCCTACTCCGGTCATAGAGTTGGTTGCTTTTGTTACTGTGAATCAGTCATTTGCATCGACTGTCCAGCATAGAGCTTTTAGAATCTAGGGAACACAATTGCGCATCTGCAGCAAACCTTCCAAATATCGCCATGCCGCCGACACTCGTGCTCATCCGCCATGCCCAGGCGCTGCACAATGTTGATGATGAGTCTTCCAGCCAACTTCATAGTCGCGAGTCAATCTAACACCATACTACAGGACTGGAACATTCATGACCCTGATCTATCTTCTCTTGGCTTGAGCCAATGTCAGGAACTAAAGGAAAATCTCTCCGAGCGTTTCGCCGATGAGACTGAGGCAATCATTATCGTTAGCCCCATGAGACGCACAATCCAGACAGCCCTTCTCTCCTTAGATTGGCTGATTAAGAAAGGGGTGCCAATTCAAGCCGACGCTCGATGGCAAGGTAATAAGCCGTACCACCACCTGCAATTCGGGGTGACCCTCCGAGACTTTCTGAGGCCATATCACTGACTTTAGTGTAGAAAACTCTGCGAAGCCATGCGACACGGGCAGCACTATCGCAGATTTGAAGGTCGAATTTCCAGGTGTTGACTTTTCCACTGTAGATCCCATCTACCCCAACAAAACACCCCCTGCTGGTGCCCAGTATGCTTTCAACAGAGAAGCCATACTCGGCCGAGGTCAATCAGGCCTGCAGAGCATTTTTGAACGCAAAGAGAAGCTTGTCTTTGTTGTCTCCCACTCTGGGTTCCTTCGCGCCGGCGTGACGGGTTATTGGTTCTTCAACGCCGACTATAGAATTTTCGAGTTTGAAAGGAGCGGAGCGCCAGGCAAGCCTTTCCAACTTCAACAAGCTGATTCAACCCTAAGTGGCGGTCTCGGCAAGTCGAGGACGGAACCCGTAGTCATCGGCTCGGAATTGGCGCCAGCCTCGGAGACCACCCCATAAGCCTAGCATTTGAAGCACGAGAAGTCAAATGGCGATTATGGCATCTGCCAAAAGATCCGAGTAAAGGGAGCACTCCAGGTATGCATCGCAGCGGTCTCAATCACACGACATGAATAGGAGAACTGGGGCTCTTCGCGGGTTGACACCGTCATGGATCAGAGCGGACACTGTTCATGCCTGAGGTGACCATAGGCGCTGGGATATGGCAATAGTCTCAACATCTTCTCCCAGTGGCCTAGCTTTTCTAGATCAAAGGGTCCAATTAAGCTTGGATATGGTTGTTATTATACCAAGTTTCCCTGTCTTCATACACATACACGGGTCCCGTGGGGTCCTTTTTTCTCTTCAACTTTTGTACAAACATATGCCATATTCGACAGCCCGGCCGAGCCCAACCCAACCTATTATTGGCGCGCTCACCTGGAGAGGAAGCTCTGGAAAGCAGACTGATCAATGACAACGTTGCCGACGGCGCGAAGTCGCTTACGGCCGGCCTTTTGCTTCTCCAACAATTTCTTCCGGCGCGTAATATCGGAAGCATGAAGCTTTGCGAGCACATCTTTTCGAAACGGCTTAATAGTCTCGCGTGCAACAATCTTCCTGCCCGCCACCGCTTGGATAACGACCTCTGCAAAGCGTCATGTCAGAAGATGCTGCCGTAATGCCTGTGCGTCATATAGAGAACTCACCAAACATCTGCCGATCAACGTGGTTCTTGAATTTAGTGACCCACTGCCTGCCGAGGCGCTCTGCCTGTGAGGTATGGATGACACGACAAATGGCATCCACAGGCTGTTTATTGACAAGGAGCTGCAGCTTCGTGAGCTGGCTCGCTCGCCAGCCAGAGTCTTCATAGTCAAGTGTCGCGTATCCCTTTCTGCTCTGACCGTTAGTACAAAAGTCCAAAACGATGGAGGGAAGACAAACCTACGTTGCTCCTTTAAGTTTACCAAATAGATCATCGACGAGTTGAGCTGCAGGGATATCGTATTTGAGGATAACCTGCGTGGCATGAAAGAATTCAAAGCTCTTTTGCTCGCCACGTACGCTCTCGCAGAGCTCGATGACACGGCCGAGGTACTCCTCTGGAAGAGTCATAGTAGCAGTAACGAATCTAACAAAGGTAAGGTTAACCGCAGGGCAGACAGAAATCAGACAAGACTTCAGCTTACGGTTCTAAGACAGTTGCACCACGCATCCGGTGCTCCTCCTGGCTGGGGAAGTCAGCCGGGTTCTGATAGATCGTCTCGGTCCCATCAGCCCATTCCACTTTAGTCGGCACAGTCGGGTCCGTGATGATGATGCTGGCGCCATGTTCTTGTTTCAACCTATCCTGGAATACAGAGCAGTGTAAGCTGCCTAGAAAGCCTAGT